TAGTTCCAGAAAATATCCAAATCCAGGTTCTTATTGTCATGAGAATAAACTCATTTATTTATTAAATAAATTTATTATTTATTTCTATAAACGTATTTATTTATTATTTATATATAATATTATCTATAAATATTTATTTATTTTTAGACTTTGTCCCAAGTTGTCAGAGTACAACCGTGATTTCCTGAAATCACCGGAATGGCAAAACCATTACAATTCTGTAGTGAAACCTCTTCTTGAGGAAGTACGCAAAGCTATTGGTGTGAACAGGTCCCTAAGTGAGTCATAAACTAGATAAGTAATCTTTTTTATTCCTCATTTCCCATTTTTTTCCTGTAATAAAGTAATGGACAACCTCAATAATGCGGTTGACTATGTCCATGCTGCCTGTTCTTCCCATTTTTTATATCTTTATTTCTCGTTTCCCATTTTCTTAAATTTTTCTTTCTGTAATAAAGCAATGGAAAATCTTCAAGATTTGGTTGACTGTGTCCACACTCACCAATGCCATGGGTATGAAATTCCACCAGGAATAACGGATAGTTTGTTCCAGCGCATGGTCAATGAAGTGCTATACTTCTGGAACTCTCAGTACAGATATCCATCTATACAGCAGTTTGCTAAAGCTGGTATCGGGTTCCTGGTGAATGACATGTGGCAGGTAAGAATAGACCAATCACAGCTATGCTTGAGTGTCCACCCAAACAATGGGTAGTTTTCCCAATGGAATACAGAATGTCAGACCAACAAACTCAAATTCATAAGATTTTTAGTAGTTATAGATATTTTTGTTAATAATGGTTAATGGTTAACCAAAGGAAAATGGTAAGAGCATCGGTCTGTTGTGCTGGAGGTCGTGGTTCAAGCCTCGGCCGGACCAACACTCAGGGTCTTAAAATAACTGAGGAGAAGGTGCTGCCTTTGTAATTGCATCAAATGGTTAGTCTTCTCAGACAAGGACTTAAAACCATAGGCCCTGTCTCCCAACCCTTCATAACCAAAAGTAAATGAGGGACATAAAAGAACCTGTTGAATTATTCGTGTAAGAGTAGGTGATTGTCTCCCAGTTCAACAGCCTATCCCAATTTGGAGGCATAACACTAATTTACTAATTTCACTCATGATTGTAAGCTGCACGGCTGCTAATAGTGCCTTAATATGCAGCCCGTAAAGTCCTCCACTGCTCATTAATGTAAAGCGCATTGAGACAATGTGAAATGTGCTATAGAAGAACCCCATTATTATTATTATTATAAAAAATACTCTCAAATTTGAGGGAGATACTTAAGAGCAATTGTCTGTAAGCGTCGGCTGGGCCATGAAGGATAGAAAAATCGAAAATTTT